CTTGTATACTGCAATGATCCGTTAGCAAATTTCTATCTATATTAAACTTGTTTTTGGGGGGCTAATTAGTTCTCTAAATCAATTGGGACGGTAACTTCACAAACGTTTTTTTCGCCTGCCATAGCCCAGGTGTGTTCTCCCAACAGGCTCTTCTGAACTGATGTTCCTGTGCTCTTATCTCTTCCCTGACAGTATGAGGTCCCGCAGCAAGAAAGGATGTTGGTCCTATTGGTCGGGTAGCTGCAGCTTTCGTTGCTGGTCTGTCAGCCTCTTCGTTTTCAAGAATACTTTTGTGACCGGGGAACCACATCAGCTGTATTGTGTTGTGTTCCCCCAGGGTATTCAATCCTACTACTGATGGTGCAGCTTGACTCTCGTTACAAACGATAATGTGCTGTCTCCTTTCACTTTCGTACAAACGCCGATGGCATAAACCTCTGCAACGGGAATGCGTTGTTTGCTTAATGTGAATCTCTAAACTAAATTTTCTTGATCGATTTAGTTGTATTTGCTCTTAAAAAAGTCGCACGATAAAGAGTCGCCCTGTTTGAAATCATAGTTTAGTATGAAAGAGCTTGGAGCTGGTTGTATTAGTTGTATTACACATATAGTTTCGCCCGGATACCAAATTCAGACTTTGTGGCGCATAGGTAGCTCTTTTTCGTGCTATCGAATGTGACTTTAAAATCGAGAAAGAATATTATTTGTAGATTGGGTTTAATGCGTATCATAAGTCCCTAACCCTGACAGCCCAATATACTATCCGCTTCCTAATAATAAATCGCTCGACTGTAAATCCATATGGGTGTATCATACTAAGCCTTACCATCGCTAGACAGTCACTTAGAATATTCTCCGACATTTCTTCGTTTTCGTAGCCAATCCGGTTCCTGTGAGAGCGCCGATGTTACCATGTGAGCAACCTACTTATTCCATTCTGAGTTTACCCACTTGGTAATTGCAAGTCTCGAGGACGACCAGATGAATCCACACAAGGACAGAGGATGAGCTTTCCTTATTTTCCTTACGACTCCCTATGAATGCCGTTGATCACTTGTCGGTACGTCGTTGGGTCCAGTGGTTGGTCAATGTATGTCTGGACCGAGACATGAATTCAAATGGTTGCACTCTGACGTGTCTGGGTCTGTTAGGGCCTCGCTATGCAGGTGGTGCTCAGGCGGCATCAGAAGGCATCTTGTCGCTGTCCGGAGTACGGGGGTCTGACAAGTTTTTAGCTTCGTCCACAGCGTCTAACTAGTCCCCGCAGACCAAAAAACCGCAGTATAGTTCAGAGCCGGCCGCCGGTTCAGAATTGCCTTGTATGCTGTCGGCGAGCGTCTTGTGCTTTGTTGACAACTGCGGTTGTGTGCGCGAAGAAGGAGAGCAGGCTGTTAAAGTTATCCCCTAAAATTTTCGGGTTGTTAACCACCGGAATTTGTACGCCGTCGACGTGAATTCCCAGCTGTAGTCTGACCTGCGTCGTCTAGGTGGTTAAAGGAACTGCCGAGGATTTAGTTGTGGAGAGGGTTAGGCTCCTTGCCGGGACGAAGGGAGAAATTTCGTAAAGGTAACCTTTTCATTTCGAGCACAAGTCATCAATTCGAATCCCAAACGCCATTATCGAGCAGTCGTTAGCATAAGAGACCATAGAGACTCCCTCTGGTGGTTGAAGGAGCTTTGAAATATAATAGTTAAACAGTAGCTGCGAAAGGACACCACCTTGTGGAACCCCCTGTTTAATTTTTCTTGGCTTTATAGTTTTGTCTCTAAAAATGACTGACGAATGTCGACCACTCAGATAATTCGCTGACCACTGTTTGAGTCCCTGTGGGAGAGGAAGCCTCAATGTCTTCTAGTAGCGTGTAGTGGTTGACGGTGTCAAACGCCTTTGACAGATCCAATGGTACTAGGACTGTTCTCCCACAAGGGCGGTTTCGGTTTAGGCCACGTGTTATCTGAGTGCTTATGGCATTAATTGCTGTTGTTGTGCTGTGCACTTTACGGATCCCATCCTAATTTCTCGCTGGGTTCGTGTAGTGCGGGAGTAGCAAGCCCGCAAGTATCTTCTATACAGGGGACAGGAGGGTTATCGGACGATAAGAAGACCATCTCTTGTTGTCCGGTTTCCCCGGTTTAAGCAGTGGGACCACTCTAACCATTTTCCAGATGTGCGGAATAATGAGTGCCTTAGACAGGTTGTGTCCCGCAGGACACAGTTTTTTCAGCATCAGCATGCATATGCAGTCGGGTCCTATGTCATTGGAGGCTTCGCTTTCCTACCTAAATTGTCGGATAAAGTTACTCGCGCATTGCTCTGGGTCCGACGAAGCGCAGTCGCCGAAAGAGATTTCGACACTTTCATCACGCTTCGTTGGGTTGGGCAGTGACATGGTTGATCATTGCTTGGTCACACCAGAGGTGAAGTAACAAGTCCGCAGATGCTTTTCCCACTTCTTCCGCTTATGTACGTTCACAAGTTGCCGAATCTCCGTGTTAAGATCCCTAATGCGTGGATGTCCGTGATCGGCCTGACGAAGGTTGTCTCGCTCATCAGCTTCGGCCAGAAAATTCGGAGGGGGGTCCGAAATACATCCGGCTGGGATAAAGCGGGCTGCAGCAGCAGTGACACCCCTGCGGAACTTACGTGAACGTCGGTTGGTGTGAAGGGGGCAGAGAAGGTGATTTCAGTAAGTTCCGCGAAGCCGTTCCAATGAACAAAGTAGGCTAGTTTATCAATCGACATGACTATGGTCAGATGATCTGATGCTTGAGTCATCATAGGTCTCTACGTTATGCTGTTTATCAGACCAGCGCTTACGATTGTTATATAAGGCGAGCTACTGCAGCTGCCCATAATTCTGATGGGTGCGTCGTCGATCATTGTGCAGAATGTCGAATCGTCTATTTGCTCAGCCAAGTGTCTCGTCTCTGGCATACGCAGAAGGTGTATATTTCTGGCCCTGGATTAGACTCTATGCCAGCCCTGAACAGAACAATTCGGAGCAGATATAGGGAGCCGCATTTACGAACAACATTGTGAGATTTCGCCGACCCAAACAGGGTTAGATCCACGAGTAATCAAGTATTCTGCTGTTGTACAGTGTATTGACCTGGAGCCATGATCAATACCACCGTTTCTACGTTAAATGAACTATCAAGAACGGCTTGCTTAGGAATTGCGAGGGGCATGAGTGCAACATCTCCGCGGATTTGAATGCTCTTTTAGATTTTCTATGCCTTCAATTAGGGATATAAAATGAATACGATATGTCTACCATATTCTATTGTATTTGGCACTATCAGAGTTGTGAGCACATAGTTGTTAAGCGGATTGTCAGCGCCCTTTGCTCCTAAACAAACTGATAACTGATAGGGTCTCGTTTGGAAAAAAGTGGGATTACTTTGTCGGCATTTCTTAAAGATAATAATGGGGGGAACCAGATAATCTCTTAAGAGCTAGGTAGAAACGTTCTATACTGACAGAATGTAAGACGGTGCGCGCTTCCACTCCGCAACGCCTGGTTTTAAGCTCTGGTAAAAGCAACATCGCAAAAAAATATAGAAAAAATGGTTTTTCTTAACAGCGGTCGTCCCTCGGCAGGCAATGGCAAACCTCCGGGCGTATTTCTGAAATGAAAAACCACTTCTCATAAAAATACAATCGCCGTTCGGAGTCGGCGTAAAACGGTAGGTCCCTCCGCTTTGTATGATAACATCAAGGCGCACGCCACAAATCGGAGGATAAGCTTGGCCAAACACTAACATATGTGTAAGCGCCAATCTATTATATTATTATTATACAAGACGGCAAATGGGCTGTAGCAAGCGTACATCTGGCGGGTAACTTGACTTCTAAAGGCGTTGGTAGCTCTGGTAGCGCTCTGTCAAGATAGCGGTGAAATTCCTTTTCAAACAAAGGTTAGAGTTTAAAGCACTGATAGGACTGGTTACGGGACATAACAACACGGAAACAACATATGGTTTCCATTTCTATCACTGACAATTAACTTGTTGAAGAACGTGTATAACACAGAGCACTTTCTCCGTGTCTCAGTATTTTCAAATCGGTTTAGCTCAAGTAAATCTTAATATTTTTCCGAAATATGTATTTTGGTGGAAGTCTTAAACTATAATAAATTTTTTAAACTTCCGTTGGAAAAACCACAACTTATTTAGTGATGCACATTGTATATACGTATGCATCTCATGGGTGTATAATAAAATAATCAATATTTGTTTTTTATTTGTTTATTTCGTCTCTAAGAAAACATAACAACTATGGCAAAATTGCTTACGTTTTAATTAATGATTATATATTATTTATTAACCATCCCAACTGCGAATTCTGTTTGAACAAAACGTTTATAAAAATGAAGCGCAAATTCGAACAATTTTTATTCCTTAATAGTTCTTCAAATAGAATTCGCTAAAGGATTAAAAATGTTTTTCGATACATACGTATGTACGCGTCTGAAAATATTATTTCATGCCCACTATAAAGCTTAATCACAACTAGGTAAGTTTCAGTTTGTTAAAATCTATTATAAAATATGCATTTCAATTAAAGAATGTGGAGATTCATTAACAAAAATTAATTGTATATATCATGTCATAAAAACAAACTTACGATATAGGCCCTTTATTTATATCCTGAATAGTCATGCAATAAACGCGCGCTAAATGCAAATACACTTAGGGCCGGTTGTTCAATGTCTGGTTATCACTACCACTACACTATCGACGATTTCGACATCATGCATTTAACATGTGATCGATTACTCAAAGTCTGGTTAACACTAATCTCCGGTTAAACATATTTATCGACGTTACCGATTCCCTGTTCAATGCATGCAGTGTTGTTGTTGTTGTTGTTGTTGTGGTTGTGGTTGGTGTTGTAACAGCATACAAATTCCCCAAAGAGATTTTGGGGAGTGTTGGTGGAGTGACAGTCCTTGGCCAGATATAAATCTGGGTCGTTCCGGTTACGTAGACCCGACTGTCGTGGGAACGACATATGCATGGAGTCGAATACGTCGATAACGATGTTTAACCACAGATTAGTGTTAACCAGATATTGAGTAACCGGCCCTTAGCATGTGACATTCATTGATTAAATTACCGCTGCAGAAGTTATTTTATGTATAGTAAGTATGTATTTAGATACTTGTAAACTACTAAAGAATATCTTTAAATTGTTAAACTACAACTTCTACCATTAAAACAGCTAAATCGAACTACGAAAGCAGACATTTGTCTTTTACATTTGAGGATTGCTCATCACGCCCGCCAACGCGTACTGTAGCATTAGCTTGTACTGCCGCATTGACAGCAGTTGGATTTCGCCGTTCACGATCTGCATTCTCATCTAACTCCATAATTGACAGAGCAAGGACACGAGCTAGCGCCTCATCTTCAGTCTAAAAATACAACAACGTTTTTAATTAGAAACAATGAGACAAAAAGTTGTATGGTCTTTTGAACTAACCATATTTCCTTGAATATTTTGCACTTGTGTTCCAGTTGCTATGGGATTACGTCTAGGTTGCCCATTAAATAGTGAAGTTGGCTTGTTAGTACGCCTGTATTCAGCTGCATTTCTAAAATGTAATGTATTATTAAACCTTAAAATACACGTCACTATAATATGTATGTATGTAAATTAAATTACGCTGCCATAGCACGCTTAACTACACTTGCAACGGAAGCACCTCTGCATCCATGATCTGTGGTATGACGGTGGCGTAGACAAAAATTTCTTCTACATTCCGTGCAGTTGACTGGTATAAGCTCCTTCTTTTTACAATTTTTATAACTACAACGATTTGTGTATATTTTTTTTGTGTCTGACTTGCATTGCTGATCGATATGACGCCCGACGGTTAGATCAGGCTCGACTCCAGGTGCTGTGGGCACTGGTTCACCACATAGAGGGCAAATTGGCACTTGCATATCCTTGCGACGTGGCCCAATACATAGCTGACAGAGAACCAGAGAACGTTTAAAACAGAGAAGCAGCAATTACGAATAGCCGTGTGAATTGTCAAACACTACCAAAATCGCTCTAGAAGCTCACCACTCGAATCGAAAATTGAGAGCGGCAAGTTAACAGAGCTGAGCGGAGATACAATTTTCAAGAATGATAGAATACAAGATTGCGCCAATGAGAGAGGATTTTTGAGCGTAATTTTTGCGTGACGTCATCTTGGTGCAATCGCGACAGAGAAATGCCAAAACTCATATAAGAATATGTAAACAATGCAGAAAATTGTGTTAATTTTAATGTTACATGACCCATTTTTGCAGGAATCACTAAATATACAAAGGTTGATTAATTAGGAACACGTAGCAATAATTAGATAACTACGATTTTGAGCACATGAAAAAATGTATGTATTAACAGTGTTTGCAGTTTCATATAGACCAAAAGGAAGGTGTGCAGCAAAGTGAATTTTAGGACTTGCCATTTTAAAAAGACATGCAGGGTGCATATTTATATTTGTGGACGGAAGCCAACCACCATTAACTCCACAGCTTTGATTTGATGACTTTTGTACTATTTCCGAGGGGATGCATGAGTGTGGCTTTTTTGGAAGCAAATATTCTATGTCAGTAAAATACAATTTAAGCTGAACTTTTAAATGTAAAATAATTTAGGCACTGTTTTGTATTAGGTACGTAACAGCGCGGTAAGATGCCGCTTGAATTAGCGCCTGGCGACCTTATTCACTGGTGCATTACCTCATACCAGCACTAAAAGAATCAGGTACTAACAAAAATAAGTAGGTAGTGAAGTTCATGTATCTATTTACTGTAGAAACTGCTTTTGTATGTATGCCATTGACAGCAAAATAAACCAGCAACTGTCTACATTCACCATGTAAATATACCTACTACAATTCACCAAGGAAAGGCCAACATAGTTCCATGTAGAAGCTCATAGCTCACACACATAGCACAAAGCTCGATTTGGTGTTTAATGCATGTCCTCCCCGGCAGAACTGCTTCCACTTTTTCGCCAGGTTTGCGTCCGTAGGAAACGAAAAAAAAACTTATATACGCTTTCCTTTTGTTTTCACTATTACACTTTGCCACGGCACACTTCATTTTGCTTTTTAATGTCTAAATAATTGTTTAAAACCACGGAGAAATATTACCGCACAAATATTAAAATTGTTATTTGGTCTTTTCGTATGCTCACATTCAACAATTGCACCAAGATGACGTCACGCACACAGCTCATTCTGTCAAAATCACAAAGAGCGGATTAGCGGTACCGCGATTGGCGCAATCTCTATTTCTCTCAATCGTGTACAATTTTGTTAATTTGTATCAATGTTAAGTGCTTTGGTTTGGATTTTCTTTTTCGCGGCATTGATTTAATAAAAAAAAAGATTAAAAGTCTTGGTTAAATTAATGAAAATTCATTTTCGAAAATATATGCAAGGGAATGCTTAACTCCAAAACGTAGATTTGTTATCTAATAAATATGTGAAAGCTATGCAAATATGCAAACTCATTGGTGATTTGCCGTCGGCATTTGGGTCGCAAAAATCGTTTTTTTTTAACGATTCTTATTGTAGTTGCCGCGATATTTTCAATGCAACAAACCGCAGTTTTCTAGGTGCCTTAATTCACTTTAAAGATGGCCACATTGACAAAAAAAAAGCCTACAAATGCGTACTCTTTGGTAATTTGTTGTCGGCATTAAAAAGCGAAGAAAAAATCTGTTTTTATTTTTTAACGATTGCTATGCTGCTTTCAATGCAACAAACCGCAGTTTTCTTGCTAGCAAATTCACTTCAAAGATGGATACATTGACAAAAACGTACAAAAGCAGCAATTGCACTTGTTAGCAAAGTGGTTTTTCTCGAAAAGTTATGTTTGAGTTTTATGAACATTTATTTCGAGAAAATATGCCATATTGAAATAACCTAAGCAAATACCTTTTCTTAAAATCTCAGACCTTTTACTCGATTTGATCAAATAAATTTAAGTGAAAGTTATGAAATTTTAAGTAAAAGCAATTGCTTAGTTTTTATGCATACCGGCCAATGTGTTGAATGATGATTTTCAACTGCAATACTATAATAGTTGACACTAAAGCTTTTTCACATTATTTTCAGTGGAATAGGTATCTGTGAAAAAAGCTGACACTAACTTTCTTCCTATTAGGCATGCGCATATGGATGCTTTTAGTACACACAGATGCGATCAACTAATTAGCAACGAAATTCAAAATGATATTGTTTGCGAATTATGTTTATTTATTTATTTTTAATAATTTCCTTTAAAATATAATTCAATCTATAACAGAAACCACAATAATAAAAGGTTAAAAGCTTGCACAAATTGCATAAAAATTAATCAAACTTCAAAAAAATTGTTATCAAGATTTCAAAATTTTTAATTTGAAATTTAGAAAATTTTCGGGTATGCACCTTTGTAGCCCATTCAATGAAGTACACTAAAGTGCAAGTTTCTAGTCATTAAAAATTATCGTTGATTTTTTAGAATTTTTTTTGTGGAGGGTGTTCGTATTTTCTTTCATATAGCACATGATCAAATTTTTTTTTTTATGAAAAAAACAGCAACATCCCCACAAAAAAATCTATAAAATCACCGGTAATTTTTAACCACTTGAAACTTGCACTTTCTTATACTATAATTGAATGGACTACAATACTGCATACCCGAAAATTTTTTAAATATTCTAATTAAAAATTTGGATGACCATTTCTTGAAGTTTGATTCGTTTATTGCAATTTGTGTAAGCTTTTAAACTTTTATTATTGTGGTTCTTGTTACAGATTGAATTATATTTTAAATGAAAATCATTAAAAATAAATAAACATAATTTGCAAACAATATCATATTGAATTTCCTTGGTAATTAGTTGATCGCATCTGAATGTATGTATGTACATATGTACATATGTACCCAATACACATACTCCAAAATCATTTATTGATAACGTTCTTGCACATGCACATAATATTACATATATGTATGTACATACTAAACTCCTGCGCAATTCCATTTAAAGGGCCTAACAAGACATCCGATCGCCGCGCAAATACTTTCACTCCTTTACTCTCATCGTTCGAGTCAAGTGTGAGTAAGCATAAACCAGTTTCTGCAAGCGTACGTAAACTACCGATCAATAGCAAGACGCGTAGAGTATTTACTTTGCCTTCCACAACTACTGCGAGTAAAAGGTATTTGACAGTAGAGTACTCTACTAGTAGTACTTGAGTATTTTCGAAGAAAACATACATTTGTGGCAAGAATGATAGAAGAATTTTCTGGATCGTGCATTTGTGGTATCTGAATAAAATTAAGGACAGGAATGTAGTGGAGCGATGAAGAGAACGACGAGCAAAACGTACTTTCAACTAAAATGCTAATATACATACCTAAGTACATATGTATGTATGGATGTGCATAGATACGTATGTGCATACATAGATACGTATGTGCATAGGTACATACTATGTGCATAGATACGGATGTGCATAGATACATATGTATACATATAAGTGTCCGCATATATTTTTTCTCGTCACTTGTTCTGTCGCTTCACTGCAGCAAAACCAAGTTGTGGGAAAACCCTGACGATATGCGTACAATTGAAACCATGGGTTTGAAGATAGCGCAAATTGATGTGAAAATTTCAATTTCATATTAAATATATTTATGTATGCATGTACATACATATGTACATATGTAAAAATGTAGTTTCGATTTAAAAAAAATCGGATAAAGTTTTTCTTTCTTCTGTCTTCTGAACGACTTCATACATTAGCTGTCAAATTCAACTCTCAAAGGTACACACCAACATGTTGTCTCAAATGATCAGAAAAATATTACGATCATCTAACACGCAACTATTCAGTTGATCAGAAGTACGCAACAACGTGTTCAGAAGGTGCAATCACACCAGTTAGGTCGGTGTTATGCAGAAATTTTGTTTGGCAAACTGCGTGCAATTGTTGTTGCAGCAAACTCGGAGAGAGCGAGTTTGGCGACTCTCACAGCAAACTAATTTTGTTTGGTCAAACTGCAGCAAATTCGGTGTTGCCATATACAAAAATTTTAAATTTTGCGCGTTATGTACATCTGAAATTCTCATTTCGTGTTGGCAATAGCCATGAAAACCATAATGAACGTGCAACCCTGTGCCAAACTCGACATAACCACCTCCGAGCAAACTAAGCAGCCGCCATTTAATTTGGCAAACAAAAGTTTGTCTGCATAACACCGACCTTACTGAGCTGTTGCGCCTTCTGAACGTGCCCAATGAAAATTCGTTTCTCTTGAAATCAAGTTATATTTTTTTTATTTGTAAAGGCTCTCAAGAAAAACTAAAAATTCATATAAAATTACGCACAATAAATAGAAAATAAATTTGCTTCTATAAAAATTTCTTAAATCAGTATGCAGCTCTTAAGAAAAAAATTCTCGTACATCTCGTCGCTACCATGTCCAACTATCGAATGTGAAAATCGGCACTTTTCAAAATTTTGATTTGCCACTAATAATTTTATTTCGTATAGCAGCATTGCTTAAGTTATTGTTTTCGACAACTTATTTGTTGGTTAATGACTGCAAATAGTCTTATAGAAAATTAGAAACGAGAAATAATACTTTCATAAAACTTTAAGTACATACATACATAGATTTAAAAAGCTGCTTGAATATAAAAGTTTTATGAAAATGTCACATTAAACAACTGTCTAAATCTACGTTATTTTTTATAAATAAGGCCGTAAACATTTCCTTACATCGTCAAATTCCATATTCTATTTTTACTCTTTCAATTTCACTGACCAGCGCCGCAAACGATATCAACTAGTAGGCTAACAACCAGAATTGAAATTTAATACGCAAGTACTTACCGTACTACAAGTATACAGAGAGTAGATTTGCTACTCCCTTTTGGCAGCAGCAAATATCTCGCGTACGCGATG